TAGTATGGTTAATGTGTTGTAAACACGTGGTTCACCTAAAATGGGTTACGTCCACAGGTAAAACGGTAAATATGTATTCACTATCAAGAGGAAAACTTACATGATTGGGGTCACGTAGAGTTTCATCATACAATCTCAAAGAAAGCTCAAACAAAAGAACTTCCTACCACAAAACTACCTAACAATCGACTCATTTTTTTGCTTTACTGATGCTGCGAAGAAATGCCGACAAAATGGCCCAAGATAAGCCCCAAATGGTGGTGCTAGAGTTTTCTTGTAAAACCTACAATTTCCAACCCGAAGCTTCTCTCTCTCTACAAGTTTCCCTTTCTCTTTCACTCACCCAGACGTTTCTCTCTCTATCAAACCCCTTTTACGAGCCTCCACTAAAGAAGGTCTATTTATTGTGACAAAAAAACCCTTTAATAAGAGGGGGAAACCATAGGGCCATAAGGTGTGATCTTTGCTTCACATCCCAACATCATGGAGGTCCTTAAGCATCGTGGTTCTCGATTTCAAGATTAGGGATTTATGGGTCGTTTGGTACCCTAAGATATGCTAATCCATCTTTTGCATATCTAGGTTTTGATGCCCTTTGGTCGTTTGGGTGTATTTATTGAGATCATATACTTGTTATCCACATCCTTGAAACCTCTCATATCCAACATTTGCTCATTCCAAAAGTAACTTGAATGAGAAAATGTATAGTATTGGAAAAGCTGGCTTTTGCATTAGGTCATGTGCCTCCTGCTCTCTTTCTTTTTTGATTCTCATAAGGGAAAGTATATGATGAGACTATTTACTTTTGGTACAAGATGGTCACAATTAATTTTGACTATTTGAGGTAAAATTGGGTGGCTACATTTACTTCATTGATGAAGCTCAAACTTCAAAAGCTACTTTCTCGAACTTTGAGACACACCCAAGCTATCGTATTTCACATCGGATGGTTGCCTGTACAAAAGGTAAATAGTATCATTGTATACATTCCTTTTCTCATAATAATGCCATTATTCTGTAACTATAATATTTTACATTAAATATTTATTATTATTGCTGCTATTACTATTACCTCTATTATTATTATAATAATAATAATTATTATAAGTATTATTATTATTATTATTATTATTATTAATATTGACGCAATTTTCCAAGAGAAAGTTCAATAAGAGCACAAGTGGACCTGAAAGCTCGCAGTTTTAGTAGAGCCACTCATCCTTCGGTTTATTCAATGGAAATTTGGGTTGTTGAATCTTCTTTCACTTTTTTATAATCCTATATGGAAATCAAGAGGAATCGTTCAAGATTTGGAAGCAAATAGAAGATAGGCTCGATGGATATATTGAATCAGCTGCATACCGTTGCACATGACATTCAATAATATAAGGATTTTTTGCATGGGATCTAAGCTAGAAGATTATACCCTGTCATTTATAAAACTCGGCACAAGCAAACACCAAATTAGATGACATTGGCACACCAAATCATTCATTTTATACAGTGAAGGCAAGCATAATAAACAACGATCATGATTGATAAGGAATTGGTTAGACAACATGAGAAACAATGGTGTAAGCAGCAGTTAATACTTGCACTTGCTATTTACGGTTATGATATTTATGTAAACAAGATTCTTGTTAGTAATTCATCTCTACTTGGCTATGCATACATGGAAAAGGTCATAGGGATCGATGCCTTCAAGTATGTTATGTGAAGTTACATGAATTTCAAAACTTTTGTGAGATTCTTCGAAGCCAAAGGTTCGATTTCAAAAAATTATAAACAACGTTGCCTGTCCCGTACAAGGCTTCATTGTTTCCACAGTAGCCTGCGCTGCTACAGAAATATCCCGAACTCAATCACATGCATGCGTTCGTACACGGTTCCTGGTCTCGCATCCCATTAATGAATGGTTGATATATTGGTCCCCCACTAATGGGTGGAGACAAAAGAGGGAGGTGGTTCCATCCAGTGTTTGAAATGTTGGCGAGTCGAACCGGACTCTCCCGGTTTGACACGGAAATCGGTAGCCCTATTTCGGTTCTAGTATAATACACGAAACCACTCGTGTCTAAATAGAACCGAGCTGTTTTAAACGATTTTAAACAGTGAACCGCCCAATGACATCATTAACCGGCGGTTCTAACGTCACCACTCCAATTCTACACATACACGTGCAGATGTCACCACTTCGACACGGACAAGCAGACACGTGCAACAAAATCACGTGCCGCATATCACGTGTGAGGTTGCCCGAATGCTTCTGTGTGTATGCCTTATTTCATAATACATAGTTATTTATTTAGCAAAGTTGAATACCCATCCTTCGATGTGAGATAATTTCCAAGCATCATTAAATGAAAATGGAATATAAATATATTCTATTAATAAGCAACTTATATCATCACATGCGGTGATGTGGCGTGATGGTTCTGACCTCTGGTATTTCCTTTGAGGTCCCAAGGTCGAATCCCCTTAAGCATTACATTTGATATTAATTTTTGTTGTATAGTAGTCAATTTTTGTTGTATATAGTGGTATAAATATTTTTGTAAATAATATAAAAGACATAAAAAAATGAAAAATAAAAAAGTTAAATTTTTGTATAGCAGTTAATTTTTGTTGTATATAGTAGTATAATTATTTTTGTAAATAATATGAAAGGCATAAAAAAATAAAAAGTAAAAAGTTTATTCTATTTGAAATCTCCCTCTTTCTACTAACAATCTCTTTTATTAAATTTATTATAGAAACCTAAAAAATTAAATTTTTGAAAAATTGAAATGTTATTTCCAAAATTTGTATGCATTTTATTAATTTTAACATTGATAACCAAATCTTTTACTTTATTTATTCATTTTTATGTTATAATCATGTAATGTACTATTTTTCTTACAGTTGTCAATAATACATTTTAAATTAGATAATATTATAAAATATTTTTAATTTGTTATTATTTGTCTAATAAAATAATTATAAACTATAAACTAATAATTATAATTTTAGTATATAATATTATAATTAGTTAGGTTGTAATAATTTTGAATTATAGTTAGTTATGCTGCAATAATTTGGGTTTTTTTAACGAATTAGGGTTTCTCTCCAAAACGATATTTTAATGGCCATTCTTTCATTGATTTAGTCTTCTCTTTATTATTGTCCATGTATAATTATATATCTTAGACATAGTAATTCTATGATTTTTCTTTTATGTGATGCAAATTTAATGGTTAACATAAGTTTATACAGGGAAAGAGCATCTCAATATTCACAAATTGATGAAAAAAATAAAAGTTAATAATGTAGTACCCTCATTTCTTATTGGATTCCTAAAAGATAATATTTATAACGAATTTTAATACTTTTTATAAAAAAATTTTAAAGCTTAATGTTACCGATTCAGTCGATTCTCGATCCGAATCGTTGATTCACCAATTCTTATAGATTTTTAAAGTGTCCGATCCGAAGCACTAATATGTTTTTAAACCACCGGTTCCATCCATTAAACTAAAAAAGCCGCACACATCAAGGCCTCGAACCCCATTTGGAGGCGAGTAAATGATTTTGTCGCGGACACAGGGGAAACATTTGGCGTTTTTAAATTCATAATTGTACGGTTATTGGCGTTTTTGGTGAGGGAACAAAATTCATAATTGTACGGATCAATAATATGAAGATTATTTTACCGGAGATCTGAGCTGAAACATTCCGAAGCTAAATACCGTACCCTGTCATTAATAAAACTGGACACAAGCAAACAAACACCAAATTACATAACTTTGACGCACAAGATTACCCTTTCTTAGGAAAAAATACCAAACATCCGATGGACTTGCGTTGGCAGTTCAGCATTGGATATTTAGTTATGGAGTTCGCCAAAGGACATATATAACCATCGTCCTTCGCCTTAAGGCGTGGGGGAAACAAATTTATTTTCTTGTTAGAGCTATGTCACTCCCTCGAGAGAACCTTGGCTTGAAGGCTCCTAAAGCTTAAAAAACTAGAGTGACAAGCCTCTTTTTGAAGAGAGATATTGAGAGAAAATCTCAGAAATTAAGCTTCGATAAAAATAGAAGTGAGAGCCAAGGCTCCTTTCAAGAGGAAGACGGTAGTTATAGCATAGGGGCATTTTCCTCTTGCTTTGTTTTGCAATTCGAAATAAATTGTAACATATTTGAGGATTAGCACCCGGAGCATAACTCAAAATCTAAATAATAATCTATTTTCTTGTGATTTTGCCTATTAATTTGCTCCCAGGAATCCTAACAGAATTCTTGCTCATCACTTCTTCGTAGAAATCACCCACATAGAAGGGATCCGATAAGGTGGTATTGTCATCTCATCTGTGTCCCGTCTCTTCTCTCTCTTTATATAAAAAAGGAAAAGAAATAGAGAAGGCTCTCTCTTTGATATTTCGTACAAGAACTTGCAAAACGGTTTTGCCTCTCTCATCTATTGCTAATTCTTTCTCTCCCCTTGAGAGAGGAAAAAAGTAGTCCTTGGTGTGCTCTATTTTCTTTTCTTTTTTTAATAAATAAAACATCCACATGTACCCTCTCTCCCATTTATTAAAAAATCCCAGAATAAAGTGAGTCCTTGGTGGTGCTTTATTTTCTTTTCTTTTATCATAAAGAGAAGTCCACAAAAAGAATCTCCGTGGTACATTAGGGTAGATAAAGGATTTTGGGAAGTTCGAAAATATCAAGTGAAGGGTTGTTTGCTAAGTGTCCATTTTAGCAAAATCATGAATAATTTCCCTTGAGATGAAGATCTAATCGTTCTTGTGACGATTAATTAGAAGTTTGGTGACAATTTTTGCCTTGGGGATATTAGAGGGGATTACCGCAATTTTATCTTCTTACTCTAGTATTCGTCGGAAAATTATTTGGACTTTGATATATCTAGTTAAACATATATCCTATTGAGATTAATGAAGAACTTCATGCAATGAAAATTTAAAATATCATTATCAATGACAAAGATCAATGTAATTTATAGAACAGCTCAAAACTACAACACCAAAATTTATAGTATATCCATTATCAATTTACTAAAACCACCATGCCTGTTTTGGTACTAGAAATTTACATATATTCAAATAATAAGAGCCGATAAAAAGGCTTTATTTCCATGCTCCTAGTTTTTCATTTGAAACACAGGACCGACCATAAACGGGTGCGGTCCGTCATCTAAATTATAAAGCGCCTCTCGTTGTAGCTGTCACGTGTGGTTTTGGCGGGAAGAAAGGGTTCTTGCGTTTTGCAATCTCGGTTGTAACCGGGATCTACACGCATGAAAGCACAAGCGCGTCCGTAGTATGCAATTCTAGAATCCGAACGTAAATCAATATGGTTACATTCCGAGCCGCCATTGATGATATTCGTGATGACACCATAGCCAGGGACCCGACCCGCCTGGATGTCGTCTTCTGAGGGCTCCCACTGATCGGTGATCACAGCGTGTGGCGAGGGTATCGGTGGTTGTGCATTCATCCAAAACCAGAATGCGGTCTTGAAAGAAATTATACAATCTTTGGCAACAATGTCTGGGTCTTCCAAGCCTTTAAATCCTAATGCTTTCCCCGCCGGACCATAGTTACAGTTGCTGCACCACGACGTGCAATTAAATAACTATAAACAGACAAATTTGTCAAGACGGCCTATCTAACATTCTATCGTTTTGCAACTAAATCCAACTCAGATCATATATTTGTATATGGATAGTTGGAAATTAAATAAAGAGATACCTCTTATAGGTAATTTGATACACCTTATTTATAAATAAAAATATATTTCAATAATATATATTTATATTTGAATGCATTGGAGCAAATGACTGATAAAAGAAATCATATATCATATATGCGATGTTCTAACAATCCGTTGTAAACACATTATCATGCACAAAAGTTAGTCAGGGCCACTATTTTCGGTCTTAATATTTTCCAATATTTTTTATTTTCGCTGTGAACAATTCCAAAAAGAAGAAGATTCAGCTATTGTAATACTGGACATAGTGTTCCTCAAAATTAACCGTTCAGACAATAGATTGTGTTTGAGTGGAGCTTTTATATATATATATATATTTATTGGACTCAAAAGGAAAAAGTTTTTATGAATCCCCAGACTCGAATGTAGTAATGCACCATCTTAATAATTCACTTTTGAAATGGATTTAGGCACTAATTTCAAAATAATGTATAATCTGGTAATTAATATGTTATAAAGAGAAAAACTAAAAATGACATTTTTGAAAGACATATTTAGACTATTGATATCATTTTTCTTGTTTTTTTTTCTTTTTCCAAGTGACTACCATTCATATCCATCTATGGATGGATGGTGCATGCCTCAGAGGACGCAAATGTAGAAATACGTCACCCGACGTGTATAACACTTTTCTATATCAAAAGGAGTAATCTTAGGTGGCCACAAAATTGCTAAATTGATTCTGGTGGATATCATCCGAGCATGATTGGATGGTGGAGGGTTTTTCTGACTTCTGAATTTTATTTTAATATTTTTTAAAATTCTGATTGAGCTCAAAGTTTATATGGATATGCAACTATTAAGGGTCACGGAAACTTTTTTCTATGCTAAGATATATATATAGAGATAGAATTTTACTATTTGAGTTGGATGGGTCCACGGCCGTAGTATTTCTTGTCAGGAAAGCAAGTCCACTCTTCACTACATTCCTTACAGTAGTGGCAATGAGGGGGAGGTTGAGTCTGATTGGCAATACAGTATCCCCAAGCGTAAGGGTCTACAGGAGGCACATCTTGGGCTGTACACACCAAGAAGATGTCTTAGTCAGAACAGGAAACAACCCAACTTTCACAGCAAAAATAGAGAGAAACATAGGAAGCATGTTTATACGTTCGGTCTCATGGGAGGTCTGAGCGAGAAAAGCAGCGATCTCTCTCCTCCGGATTGTTTCGTTGCCAGTGTTCCCAAAGGCAGGAAACACCTTCGCAGCAGTGAGGAAAGCCTCGTATGTATAGAAGCCACGTGCGGGGCAAAGTTCACTATCCTTATGCGGGAGTATGCCTTTAAACAGATCAGGAGTAATTAGAGTTTCGAAGGGGGGGGGCGTTGGGGGCGGTAGGGGCGATGGTGGTGCTGGTGAGGGCGAGGGCGGGGGTGGGGTGGTGGAG